GTTGGAGGCCATCGCTATTAGGTTGTCGGGCCATTGCTATTAGGTTGGAGCCATCACTACTAGGTTGGAGGCCATCGCTAGCAGGTTTGAGGCCATGGCCATTAGATTGGAGCCATCGCTATTCGGTTGTCAGGCCATCGCTGTTAGGATGGAGGCCATCGCTATGAGGTTCCTTAATGTTTTTCTAAGTGTTTCTGTTTTTTTTATTTGACATATTGAGGTTTACTTTCAAAACCACAGGAGGGCTTAGCTGACTGTGATCCGGCATGACCAGATGCCCTAGGGAGGGTGACATCTTCCAAACTTTGTTTGAGCCTTTGCGGTTGGATCCTCCAACTTGTCATGCGTGAGGCAACTGTTTTGGAGTTTGGGATGGTGTTTCATGCCAGAAGCTTCGACGCGTTGATACTAATTCAGCTCCAACTGCATCATCAATCAAATCCAGATACCCAAATATACATCATCTAGTATATCACCTAGTGCTTCTAGATCGATCAATTTCATCTTATCCCATCCCATCTGCCCAAAACCACGGAGTTCCCTGTGATCACCCACGTCTTGGCAACGCAGGCTGTACCGAAACGTCTTGGCAACGCCTTGGGGCCGGTGGACTACAGCAAGCGCACTCCAGTGCCCAAGGAGTGGAGGGATCCGAAGGGTGAGAGTGGAGAAGTCTCCGGCACCTGCCATCCCAAGTGCTTGGGAAGTTTGGGATAGAAGTTAGAGCCTTTATCTCTGACCGCTTGCGAGTTCGCATACCGTACACGGCAGTTAGAAGTTAGAGCCTTTTAAACAGGCTGCCATCCGAAGTCTGAAAAAAGGCAGCACGATGTTTTGGCATGTCTGTCTAAAGCTGTGAATCAGCAGCGGCTTGGAACTGAGTAGTTTCCAGGTCTAGTCATGGAAGACTCTTGGAGATGTTATTTCCGTGGCAGGTGGTGAAATCTGAGATCTCGGGTGCTGGTAGAAGGATGAATTTGACCTGAAGATGCCAACTGTCGTCTTGAAATGTCACCTGCCAAGTAAGGGTTGTTAGGTTTTGACAGAGCTGCCCTTGCCTTTCCTCCTCCTTTTCCTCCTCCTCCTCCACAACTACTAGCCAGAGTGCAGTTGGCACCAGCAGACCTCAAAGCACATGTCTGAACACATTTCAGGACCGAAGTTGGACCATCTGTCACAGCGCATGGTCCCCCGATCTGCTTCCGAAACACCGCCCCTTTATCATCCTGCGATCATCCTCGATCATCACAAACCATGCGCAAATTGACGCAGTCCACCTTGAACGGCCTGCCAGCCTACTTGCAAATACCAAAGTCGCTGTTGCTTGTCCGTCGTGAAACGTCAGGGCTTGCGCTTGTCCACGACCAGGCCCACGTGTCACTGGGCCAGGACTCAGACGTTGTTCTTGTACCCCAGGACCTCCTTGACAGTAGCAACATCTCGCCACAGAGCTCTGGAACTCCAGAACCAGCCTACAAACTCGAAACCGAGCGTCTCAGACGCAGTGAGCCAAAGGGGGTGAAGGACACAGATTGCGTGATTTGCGGATGTATTTTAGAATGTTGTCCTCATCAGTGGAAGGACCGACAGAATTGCCCACTGGCTACCCTGCTTCCAATGCCGCTCTTTCACCCAAATCCGTGGCATGTCTATGCGTCTTGTCCTGGAACCGTACCTATATGTACTTTGCGGTCATCATGGGTGCAGAACAGATGCTTCAAATGGTCCGCTGGCATGTCAGAACGCACATCTGGACCGAAGTCGGACCATATGTCACAGCACTGCAGACTTCATGGCAGGACAAATGAATGTTTGAACACATGCCAGCAAGGACTTCACAACACAGTCCAGAACATTTCGCAGCCTTTATGATAGATGATGCGTCAGAGCACACACCAGACTTGATGCCGGAACAAGCGAACATTGTGTCAATCTTTCCACATGCCAGGCCGCGGATATCGGGACAGTCCTTTGGCAGCCGATAGCAGGTGGTTAAATTCAGCTGGAGAGCAAGTTCGGGATGTGCCTCGCAAAACAGTTGTTTCAGGTTTCAGACAAAAGCTTGCGCATGTACTTGGCATGGCGCACAGTGATTGTTTCAATGCTGACATGTTTCATGCTGGCATCCACCGTGGCATTGAAACAAAGCCTAGAAATGCAATGCTGGGGATCACTCGGAGTAAAAATACAATTGTTGGCAGTTGGTGCCTCCAATTGTTTGCTCTTAGCTCAAAGCCCTCAACCTGCTGGTTCCATGCGAGCCCCAACCAATTCGATCACGGCCTCACCGTCCAAAACGTCGCTCCTACCCTCCGCCAACGGCCAGGACTGGATCCTCCGTGGCAGTGGCATCCATGGACCCGAGAACGGCGAGGCGCGGCATGTGGTGACAACGCGTGAGACGGGCGGCTTTTTCAGCACATGGCGCGTCACGGTTTGTTTTCCCGGTGAAGGCAAACACGGAGATGTCGGCAACGGTGTGTGGATATTGCGGTGGATCTGTGTGCCGTTCTGCCGTTCTGTTAATCTTTTGGGGGGGGGGCGGTGTGGGGACACGGAACGCAGGGAGTCTTGAGATTCCGTGGAAGTTTTTCGTAAAACGACCTTGGTGTGGTTCATTTCTACCTTGGAAGGGCGTATTTTTGGAACACCGGCAGAAAACCGGTGACCCGATCCACATACAGTAGGGAGCCTCCGAGAGGCGAATGGGAGAAGCTTGAGATGGCGTCACATTCGTGTCGGATATTTAATATATAACAATTATATATCTACAATACCCAGACACTCCATGTATGCCATATATGCCTACATTGGGGTGGTTTGAGGGGTCAATGTAGGCATATATGGCATACATGGAGGCTCCAATGATGGAGCGTCTGGGATATATAGGGATGGGTCAAGAGCCGTGGAGCCGTGGTCCACCATGTAGCGAACGACCTCCCAGGTTTTGGGTCAACCAAGGTAGCCTCATTTTGACCAACAACCATATACTTCGAGTACTAGGACTTTGGATGCAGCTGTGCAGGGGTGGGTTCAGTGCTTGGATTCATTTGGCCCTGCCTTGTTAGTGATGTTCGAGGTACCTGGAAAGAGGACCCCCAAGCTGGAAATCCCGTGAACAGAAGTGGAGTGCAGATGTGTTCGAACGCCCAAAACAAGCAGCAGTAAGCATAGCAAGACAAGCAACAGCAGTCCCATGGATTGTGAGGGACAGATTTCGATCAGATGGAACCTTTGGAAAAGCAACGTCTCCAACCTAATAGCCATGGCTTCCACCTAATAGCAATGGCTTCCAACCTAATAGCGATGGCCTCCACCTTGATCTGAGCACAGAAGCCATATGCGTGAGCACATGAACACCCTTTTTGTGGAGCTCCAATGAGTCAGACTGGAAGTCCTTGGAAGTAAGAACATGAGCTCAGTTTTGCGGTTTTCAGGTGATTATGCTTGTTTTTTGTTGTTTTCCGTGGGTGAATCCCTTGGCGTTGGTGAAGATGTTTTTTGTACCGGTTCCTGGACAGCAAGTCCGGGCTTGTGTACTGCATCCCAATACTTGTTGAGTCTAGGAACATTGCTGGAACCCTGGAACCCAAAACTGTACTTGCCTAAGAATCTGCCGAACCAATACATAGGGTTTGGAAACCAGGACCGGACCCCTGCTATGTCTGACCGCCAAGAGGTCGGGCGACGTTTCTTTCCGTTGCGTTGCCGATGTCTTTTCCTCGGATGGTCCACCTGGGCTGCCTCACACACTGACCAGCACAGAGACTCGCAGCACGGTCTCCGCAGCACGCCCCCTGCGCGCATGCGGGAGGTGATGAAGCTGGTTTTGTGGAACCGCCTGAAGCAGAAGCGTCCCCAGCGGCCCCAGGTTCCTGTGGAAGATGCTCGTCCACGACGTCCTTAGCGGAAAGTCGTCGTGCCGAAAGCGATGTCGCCGTGCCGAAGTGCGCACCAAGGGGTCAGACTCAAGACGTCGGGAGCTGACATCATGTCAATTATAGTCACCTAGAACCTGATTGACCCCTGTTTTGGAGCCAAAACATGGTCTTTTCCTATCAAAACAGAGGTCAAATGGGGTCTAGGCAATTGTATTACATATATATACAACACCAAATTACACGGGTTCAACCCCCCTCGGTAAAAAAGAACAACTCACCTTACAAAGCATGTGTCCATGATTCCATTGAAGTCCAATGTAGTTTCCATTCGGAATGATGTATGAGGAGTGGCTTGAGTAGTCGCTCATCTCCTGGTTGGTCAGTCTCCATGGTATTTCGGACACCAAGGGATCCAAAGTTTGGTAGACTGGATGCAGGAACTGCTCGAACTGCTCACACTGCTTTGGGATCCCTCACGTTACGTCGAACGAACAAGGAGGAAAAAACGTCGAACAGGCTGGTGTCTCGCATCTCTCCGCGAAGAGAGCTGCATCGCGCCCTCTGTCGCATCGTGGAGTGCGCATTGTGAATGAAATGTCTCTGAGACCTCCCTGCTCAATGGCTTGTGGTCTACTTTCCTTCATCCGGATCGTTGCGGAGGTCCCCCAAAAACCATCCTTCATACACACCCAGGACGTGACGTCCGGGTGATGGACTGCGTCCCGTTTCGACCTATCAGGACCTGCAAGAGTTCTTCCGCATGGAGGCCGCGGCACGAGACCTGTGCCACAAATGAGAATGATGCAAGGGAATCCTGGCTTTTTTCCTTTCACAGTGGTGACTAATCAACTGTGGTTGTGAGTGGAAAGACCAAGATACTACGATCGAGAATTCTGAAGATGCATCATTTTGGAACAAGCAATGGACAACACGGCGGTACATTGTCAGGCGAGACATGTTAGATGTTGTACAATACGTAGGACATGTTCCTAAGTCGTACAGCGGGTCACTAAGGACGTGGTGAAAACGTCCGGATGGCCCGTCTGTCCTCTTCAGGTGGCCATCGTCTGGTGGATGTTTGGCTGTGTCTTCTTCGTGGCCCCTCTCAACTGGTGGGGCAAGAAGTATCGCATCTTGCCCGAAACCGGGTTGGCCATGGTTGGCCTCCTTCTCCTTCCAGGGACGCGGGTTTTGGGGTGGAATGGCCCTGGTTCATGGTTGTTTTGGTGCCACTGGAAGAGAAAAGAGGTGAAAAAGATCCATGGAGGTCTTAGTTTCATTGATACATATTGAATCATATTGATACTATTGAAGATTGTTGATGCATAGTGATGCAAAGAATCCATTATGATTTGATATGGTAGCTTTCCAGCAATGTAAGCCAGCTTCCGACGCATAATTGAAAGAAAGTCCCTGACCCGCCACAAAAGAATGTACTTTCTACCCCAAGAAGTGTGGAATGAAGAAACCTAGTGGATTTATTAAGTTCTTGAGTTCAGGATGCTTTCCCCATGTTTCAGTACATTCAGAGCGAGCATCACACCTCCCTGAACCATGGTGTCTCCAATTTGTCTTGTGGGCTTGGGACACCCATTGGATGGTCATGATACCTGCTAGACAAATGTTAGAGTTCATTGCATCCAGAAGTGTACTCCTTCCGCCAGACCGCCAGACCACCAGAGCAGTCCCTTGCGGTCCCTTGATCGACATTTAGGGAGAACCCGTCTCCACGCCGAGGGAAGCGAACCGTCAAGATCATATTTTCCAGTTTCGGTATGTCTCATATTCTGAAGAATCAATCTCAGTCACATCCATGTTGTTCAAGTCGGGTCTTTCTTTCTACAAGTTGTTCTTTTCCAAAATGGGCAGTGAGTCCTTGTCAAAACTCCTTTCTCTTATTTAAAAAGAACATCAGTTTGTCTCGCTTCCCGATTCGACGTCGTTTTCAGGTATGGTCCATGATCACTACCCCTGGTTCCCCAAGCGCCAAGACGGCACTCACGGCGTTGGGCCCGGACTGCCCAGAGCGATGAGTCGGAACCGACGAGAGAACGGACGACGAGAATCGAGGGGGTGACATTGGGCGTTCCGGAGACTGATCGAACGAAAGACCTGTTTGTAGTCTTTTGATCTGGTTTGAGAGCGTTTGACCTGCTTGTGGATTTGAGTGGGCTGAACTCCATTGTGTATGGAATCGAGGTTCCATCGCTGCTCGGGGAAGAGTTGCTTCGAGAGCTTTAAGATGCTTCCTTTCTGCCACCCAAACGCGACCCTGGACCTCCTCCATAATCCCGGTTGTGAGGGGCCGGGCTCCGCGCTGTATGAAGCGTTTTGGCAGAACACTTCAACATACTTCAACTATATGATCGACTGTTATTCATTAAACGAACTCCAATGAAAATGGATGACTCCGGTCCTGCGGGGTTTATTCATCAGCAGTCAAGTCAAGTTGTGGCTTCAGGTTTTGGGATGGGTCGGAAATTGGTCCATGAGGCATTGGTTGCTTCTTTAAATTCTTTTAATCTGTTATTGGGACACCGGACTCCTCAGTCCAACGTTGTTCAGTCCGATCTCCGTTTCCTTCAGAACGTTCCTTTTTTTTACCACGGAGTCAGGTTCTGAAGAATTGAAGGTCTTGCAAACGAACGAAACAACAGGCTACAGGTCTATCTACTCTTTGTAGCACGCATACACCATGGTGCTACTGAAAATCATGTTCAACGGTCGCAGGTGGTTAAACGGCGGTTGCAGTTGTACACCTCCATCCTCCTCCCTCCGGGAACGGTGATGTGTGGCTTGTTGGAGGCCTTACGCCTGGTTCTTCGAGTGAGGGACTCCGGTGACCTTTCGGCCCTCAGCCGGTGTCTGGGGCGTCTGCGCAGCACGCGGAAGAGCGGCCGAACTCGTTCTGTTTGAACATGCACCAGTGAAGGTCCACCGAGCTCGTGGCTTTTTCAGGCTTCGTTGCGGGGAAGAGGGATTAGGGAAACCCGCGAGCCATGTGGGTCCCGAAGTCTTGGAATCCTGAAGTTACCTATGAGCCATGCGAGCCTTAGGAATCACCTGGAAACTGGTACCTTTTTCACCCCCCGGGGGTCTACCAGATCTAGAGACTGGGGTCTTACTCTCTGTGCACCGATGCTTTGGGTAGGGCCCTACGCCTCCTTCCAAGCAGCCATCAATGAACAGTTGAAGTGGCCCCCCCAGTAGTCACAGATCCTCCGATCATCTATAGAGACCATTGAAGGAGAGAAATCTGCAGCCAAGCGGTTCTTTGTGGCGCCATAGCCATGTGTTGCTTTGGTGGGAACATGTGGGAGCCGCTAGAAGGTCGGTGGTTTGAGATGTTGACCTGCACATGGATTTAACATGGGCGGAGCGATCATGAGAATTTGGATACAGTTGCATCTTTGGGTATTTGTTTTCACAAACTGGACCGCCTCAAGGTTCAAACGCGAGTTGTTGTGGACTCTCTCTTCCAATGAAGCCAAACACAAATCATTAAATCCACATGGCACCGCTTCCATGTGCTGCAACAAGGGATGCTGCCAGATACTTGGCGACCGTTTGCGAGTCTCTCGCATGTCCAGTGTCTTAAGTTTTGGATGTTGGATAAAGTTGGTTTTAACAAAGTTTTAACACCTGAATGTTCTTTGAGGCTGCACTTAATGTTGACCAATCATCTTCCGATGTTGCTGCTCAATCAATTGACTCTTCCGAAAGCTAGGCTGGTTTTTATCAGTGAGTCAGTCTTTGACATCAGTACTTATCGCTGGAAAAGGAAAAAGAGAGCGACTCTGGGTGTGGCTCAACAAGTATAGGCTGGTGTAAACTGGCTCAGGCATTTCTGTGGCCCGCCTTGTCTCTCAGAGCCGAATTCAATGAGGGCTATGGAAACATGCATCACATCTCATGGTGGACACCTGGCTCAGCCAAGCACCACGAAAGCACCACGACTCCATATCTCGTCAGCTCGCGATCAGGGATCGATCGGTTCTTTTGTTTCCGTGTCACTCTTCCTTTATTCCACTTGTTGTGCTCACAGGGTACTGGATGTTTTCCACTGACCGCCATTGTTCATGGTTCATCTCTATAAGTATGGCTAATCGGGTGGAGACAGCCACCTGTCTGGAACTTGATCATCTTGGGTTGGAGCTATAAGAAATGAAATGAACAGTATGGGCTAAGACTTCCCCTTCTCGGTAAGTCTTGGTGACACGACCACCGCGGTGCGAGACCACCATAACAAGCCGAAAACTCAGCCCACCACGCGCTGGGTTTTCGGTGTTTCGTTGCTGAAGAGGGTTCCCGCTTCGGTGTCACGGTGCTCGGCGAGGCATTGATGCTCATGGCCGGTTATATGACCTGGACCATCCGATGGACCGGTCATCTGACTGGACTACTACCCTCCACATCCCTCTCCGGGAGATAACGGACACCATTGGATGGTCCGATGGTATGTGAAACATGTGTTGACCTTTGGTAAGAACAGAAACGGAGGAAGCGGGGATGGAGAACTGGCCAGAACTCGCGTGATCATTTGGACCCAACCTGCTTGTGGTCAGGGTGTGGTGAGGAGAGCACCACTCCACCATGCTGAACACACACACACACACAACTGGGTGTCCGCAGGGAATGCACACAGACGAACTGCGCGCTGAAAGTTATCGACACTGAGCCAAAGTGCTCGGTGACAGCAAAAGCCTCATCTCAAACATGCAAGCACTGGCAAATCAACAGAGGATGCCCATGTTTTATTGTGTAATCCCCCAAAGTAGAGGGAAGCAGCCGACACTAAAGCGGTTTCAGACCCGACATGGCTCAAGCTAAAATTCAGAAAGGTCATGTATCTTAAGACATATCGAATATCGAACACCTTTGTCACAGGGCTCCGTGACTTTGTCCAGACAGTGTCCAGGGCCATGGCCAGAAGTCCTTCCTCCGTGTTCAGAAAAAGCCAACCAGTAGCGTCGCCCCCATGACTTCAGATGATTTAAGATCTTAGTCTTTGCCACATGTGTTCACCATGGACACCTCCCAGCTGCGTTTGGCCGGGCACCCGGTTGGTGGGCCGCTGGTTTGTGGAGGAGCATGTTCGCCATCCAGGTTGGCGGGTGAAGCACGAAGCGACGCGGCATTTCAAACTCCCAAGGGTGGAGTGATGTAGACTCGTGTAGACCCAAAGACGCCAATTGCCACCACACTGCTCGCAGTCGGCGCTCGAGGTCTGTGGCCAGAGACGAAGTGCCTTGATCCGGGCACAGAACTTGCACGCGCAACTGGAAGACAAGGATCGAACGAACCGAACGGAACGGTTCTCGGGTTTAGGGTTTTCCCTACACCTCCAGTCGTACCTCCTCAGTACCGGACCCGAACCAGCCACCCCAGTCGTACCTGAGACGGTGCGACTGGAGCTGTAGGGTTTTTTGGTATGTGTTGGGTCGTCGCAGCCCGTGAGGTTCGCAGAACAAGGTCAGGTCAGGCGAGGTCAGGCGAGGTCAGGCAAAAACCCAGAAGAAAGGCAGCGAGAAACAGGCACCTTTCACAGAGAAACCGGTCATGAGAAACTGAAATTGATGACATGGACCGAGAAGGCCGGAACAATGTGATGTTCACTCGACCTACTCGACCACAAGATCGATTCCACCCTGCCTGGAGCTTCAGTGGGCCACCCAAGCTGGCGTGTTCTCCGTCTGGGCCACCCACCTGGAATCAAATCTGGCTGAAGGTCAGGTGGTTTCAGGGTGATCAACGGAGCGTCCATCCTGTGATGGGGTGACTTCCGACTCTGTTGCACCCCATCCATGTTTCACCGGTTTTCCCATCATTAAAGAAACGCACCTTCTCCTCAAAAGACATCACCGGTGGATGATGTTGGATGTTATTGGATGTGATGTTTGTTCGAGCTTTTTAGTTTGGATCCGCAACACTTGGAAACTCAACCAGAAGAGTTTGGGCGGTCGCGCGAGCCCAGTGAAGATGTTTTGTAGACGCATCTAAGCCCCAAATCCTGTCACGCAATCCTCATAACGTGCAAAACTATCAGTAGTTTGTTATCAATCAAGAGGCTACAAACATCTACATTAGAGTTGCCTTGTGGAATCTTGTCGATGTCCATCGCTTGTTGGTTTGAACAAAAAGCTACAAGGAGTCCTTGAACTAACTTTTGGGGTATGCCGTGCATTGACTGTGACTGCATCCAACCAGACTGGTGTTGCAGGCGCGCCAGATCCAGGAGGCTTCTGCTGAAGAAGCACTTGAGGCACTGAGTGCTGGGCCACGGCGCGAGTGTT